TTTTTTAAGTCTATTCTCAAAGGTGGTGCCTGAGAGCTACACACAAATGAAGGAGAAAACAGGACAGCACAGGGGTCTGGAGACTAAAATGACAGAAAAATCATGATCCTTCAGAAAGGAGGGAAGTGACTCAGGATACTCCATCAGCAGTCACGACAGGTGAGTACAGCACACTGCACATGCTTGGGAAACACGCTCTGATTTTTCAGGGAAGGCAATAAATGTCCCTGAGGGACTGTAGAAGAGAGGCTCATGTTAAAAGATGAGAAGAATCCTCAATTCCCAGGATCCTGCCCGAGTTCAGCAGACAGTGCTGAGCAGACGGATTATCTTTTACAGATTGCCTCAAACAGGGGCCAGAGTCCTTCCCCAGTTGTGGACCGAGCCTTGAAGTGCTGAATGACAAAGTATTAACATTATTAGCTTATAAGGATGATGCAGCATCTTAAAATAAGTCTCATCCTCAAAAGGCAATCACTAGGTCCAGAAGAATATTTTTAAAGTACACTATCTTTGGAGGAAGGTCACAAGTACTCAGAGAAAACTGCATGGAGAAAATGAGGACCAGACTTATTTACAGCAGAGAAAGTAAGCTATGCACACCGATATAAAAATAAGATTTAATAACAAGAAGAATTCTCTCATCTTATGTAAGGGTCAGAAGGGCAACGGTCTTTCGGAATCTCCTGGCATATGGAGCTGTAGTAATGAATGGTATTAAGATGATAAATCGGCTGACCTTTGGCTAATAACATACTGATCTTTCTGACAAACACATTCAGATCTGGGAATATAAGCTTTTATGAGATAGAGACTTAACATTAAAGTGTGTGTTGTTCCTGGGGCGAGGGGGAGGCATACAGAAAGGTAAGTTCTCTAAACACACAAGAAAAGGAAGCAAGTGTTACAGCAAAGGACAGCTGTTGAGACACAAATATGCAGGACACTTAGAAGACGAACAATTAAGAGACCCTTTAATAAGATCTATCTAATGTATAAAACACAACGGTTCTATCCTTATTCTTGTCTCCTCACAAAGACAGAAATATTGCACGTGCCTTTGATGTGATGTGCGGAGTCAGAGAAGACGTCCAGGACAGAGTCCTCAGTTCAGCATTTCTGCAGGAAGAAACAAATCCCTACAGATGCTTACAGTCGTCCCCTCCATAAACAGTTTGTGCTTCATGAAACACGTTTCAGTGCTCATCTCTAGTTGCTTTCAGCTTACGTTAGCATACGAGCCTGCAGCTTCCCCAGACCAAACTGCAGCTCTCCCAGTCCTATGGGCAGCTCTCAAGGTCAAGTTTATCTAAAGAACTCTCACCCCTGGAAGCAGGACAGGCTTTTAAATGCGTGTACAGATTTTTAGGAAAAAGCTACACTACAAAACTATTGTCTAGAAAAGAGGTGCAAAGAATGATTCACTGTTTTGAAATATTTCACCTGTTTTACACAGGTCACAGTAGGAAGGAAGATCACTGGTTCTGAGCTAAGATATAAAAATTAGTATGTTTTAATTGGTATAGCAAAAGAGACAAAAAACCCAGCAATTATGCAAAAAAACCCTTGTGCATATGGAAGAGCTAAGACCTAACTGCTCTGTGGCTACTGCAGCAAGGGCTCCCAGCCTGAAGACGTTGACAACACTGCATGAGAGTTCTCCCATGAAAATAGGGATATCAATAGTCTAAAATTTAATAGAGAAAAACAATTCAGTTCAGATCTGCTAGGCTCCAAGCAAGTCAAGGGTACATTAAGCCCTTTGCTGTAATGTAAAATTAACTTATTTATGGAAGAATTTAAGTGCTATTTAAAGGACTGAAACCTCTGTCTCTGTAGATAATATTTCAGAAGCTAGCAGAAAGCAACACTTAAGAGACTTGTTGCTCCCCTTCCCCCACCCTCAAATTGAAAAAAAAAAAAAAAAAAAATTAAAAAGCAAAGCAGCAGGCCACTCACCTCAGTTTTCACAGCTTTATATACCAGCCTGGAGAACTTCAAGAGGAATTAGAGAGCAACACGAGCATGCACACAATGATTTATTGCATGTCTCGCCTGCCTAGTGGCACAGAGAACCAACAGAGATGCTGGATTATATACTGCACAATTTTAATTCTCCCATCCAGTACACATAGTAAAATATGAGTACAGCCTGCCCCAGTTTAATGGAAGGATCCTTTGCTACTTGGGCGTGATGCTGCTTACATCAAATCTGGTGGAAATTTTTGTTAAAAGTTCTAAGAAGAAGGGACTGTTTTCTCATGAAAGGAGATGAAAGGATCTTCCACTGCAAAGCAAAAACCTCCACCAAAACATCTTTGAAAAGTGACTGCAGTGCTACAGCTTGAGTCTGAACATCCCTGCCCACATGGCTTTAAAAGCACTATTTCCACAGAAAGAGTTCCCAGAGCAACTGCATGGGACAGTTGCTTCAGCCCTCAGGTGAGAAGGTGCTTTTGGAAAACTTTCATTTTGAGGATGCTGAAATCTAGGAAAATTATTTGATTGCTCTTAAAAGAGCAACTTTACACCAACTTCTCTGGAGTTTAATAGGGATCTTCACTCATGAGCTTGAAGTTAAACGAGTGATCAAGTACATGCTTAAGGCTCTCTAAAACCCTTGAGGAATAATTGTGACATCTCCTTTTTACACTGTTGGAAAACTGTTGCTTACAGGACCAGGCTGACTAGTGTCTCCAGCAATAATGACACCATACTGTACACAACAAATGTCTTTGAAATGAACCTTCTGCTTTTAAGAATCACCCCTCTCCCCGGGAACTGCTTTAAGTCATTCTGTTCTACATTTCAGCCAAAGATTTCTAAGAAATGCCTCTACACTGCTGTTTTATACAGATATCTCAGCTTGTTCCCCTCAGGGAGTTCAGTATACAGAGCTTGCTTCTCCTGTGGCCTCCTTACACGTTTCAGAGGAGGGGGGAAGGGGGGGGGGGGGAGACAGACATGAAGCACTTTCTCATTCTCTGAAAAGAACGGAAGTCATGCTCCCCACTGCTCTCTCCCCAGTGCTTGTCTCAAAGACAAAACCTCCACTTTTAAATCAAACTGAAGAAAAAGGACATTTGATATCATGGTCTAGGAAAAGCTCCCACTGAAGTCAGCAGGAATTTTTCCACCAATTTCAGGAAGAGTTGAAGCAGATAACTACCAAACACTAAGAAAAAGAATATAAACCCCACATTCTACCCTAAGTGGGTTTTCTGGTTTTGTTATTTCTTTTTTTCAAATTTGAGCCGAGACTAGTATTTTCAATAAAAAGCACAGGTAACTTTTCCTCTTGTACTACTTGTACACATAACACAGTAAAGTCACTTGCTTGTCATGCACTTCTCTAGCTCACCTAGATCTTGGGCTACATGCAGTGTTTCCAGCTTACCCCCAGGTAAGTGGAGGGAGATCAGAGACCTGACTTGACACCAGCTATTGCACCTGATCTAAGAGGAAACCTTACTTTGCTACATATCAATGCACTAGAAAATTAGAGCACATCTGAAGCAGGGCTGGATAGCAATTTGGAGGTGTCGTTTCTCAAGCAGTTTCCTGGGCCAGAGAACTTCCCCTTGCAGGAAACCCTAACGACTTATCATGTCCTTTGACATTAAGATATGGCCAAAATCACTGGCAAGTGAACAAAGTGGAATCCAGTGTTCTGCATTAATGAAATAAAAATAAGTATTCTAACTTCTGAAAATGAACAGCAAATTCAGTCCCCCTGACCAAGTCCTCCACATCTCACAGGAGGCCCCCACAGACATTCCCCAGTTAATGATTCATCCTCCGTTAAATCAGGTGGGCTCCTCCTTCTTAATCAGATCATTCTCCTGTACGCTCTGCTGCTCACTGACAAGTTCTGCATCCATCAACCAGCTCTTTATTCAAAACAGCTGAGCCAAATTTGGAAGAAAAATTTGTAAGAAAATAATTACAACAATATTCAAAGCAGCTACAGCATCAGGAAAACTTACACAAAAATGAAGCCACACACACACACCATACACTGTTTTAACAGTCAAGTCCAAGTGCACGAGTCCTTAAAGGAACACAGTTGGGTGGTCAGGGGAGAAATGGGGGAGTTGGGCTTTTGCTTTGGTTTTTGGGGTGGTTGGGGTTTTTTTTAATTCATTTTAGGTTTTACACCAAAGCAGATTTTTCTAGAATTGCTTCATCCTGCCACAGAAAGAGGAGTTCTACTGCAAACTCAATATTAGACATGTGTTTTGCTGGATGAGCAAAATTAAATTTTATTTAAAGCATGGGACAATGAAATAACCCTTCAGATTAATTTCCTTTTAAAAATGCTCCTGGTTGGATTTCAAACACTGGGAGAATATGGGCACAGAGGATTTGAGTTACAAAACCCCAACATTTTAATTAACTGCTTTATTGAATATGGGGAATTCAACAAAAATTCCCATCAGTATTCAGAAGCCTATTAAAAATAATCTAAGTTTTATGCCCAAACTGATTAGTATCTGTTTCATAGTGGTACATAAGCAAAGAAGTGTTACATCCAGATTTTTCCCTCCCAAACTCAAAGTTATGCCTTTCAAAAGGCATACGCTCTCAAATTTATACTAGAGTGTTTCTTCCCAACAAAAGAGCACGAGCCTTTGGTATGCGGCTGGAACTGGCATGACCAGTAACCACAACCCAACTGAGAAGCAGTAGGTGCTTAAGCTGTACAGCTTGATCACTTCCAGGTAGGTACCCGCATACTTGGGCTCAGTGCTTCTTTCCATAGGAATAGCCTATCCATGAGCTGTTGTTTCCCCAGGTAGGTCAAACAGAGGTTCTCTAATATAAGGACAAGAGGAGGCAAGTCATAAATTGAAGTTTGTATTACTTTCCCCCCCTGCTCCTTTATAAGCACGCAGCAAACCTCAAATTTAAAACATCTAATTCTGCAGCAATACTTCACTCTTCCACACAAAGCCCTGTGTTAGCCTGCGCTCATCCACATGGGCTGAAACATTACTGACCTGTATCATGTACAGTTGCGCAATTCGATATTCTTCCACACTCATCGGAAGAGGAATACGATATTCCTTTATGAGCATTTTGAATACAAAAATCTTTTGTCCGCTCAGAAACACAATCCAGAAGCTTTTAGTAAAGGCTCCTTAAATAACGGCAAGCAAATGCATTGAGGATCCCTGAAACAGAGTGAGAGAGAAAGAGAGAGAAAGGGGGGGGAAGAGAGAGAAGCAGTTATTTTCCATTCTTATTGCAGAACATCCTATTAGGAGGGAAAAAAAAAAAAAAAGAACAAACAACAACAGGCAAACATTAATTTTTGTAATAGCTATAAGCTTCATAGCAGAGAGAAGAATCCCTGGAGTGCTACCAGACCCTTGGTATCAAATTGAACAGATTCTTTTAGAAGAATTTTGATTTGCTTCAGAGGATACCATCAAAGCTATTACCCTCCCGACCTTTGCCACTGTATCAATCAGACTTTCATATGCAATAGCATCTCCATGGAAGAGATATGACAAAAGCTCAAAATGAATAGGCAGACCTTCTGTTGCCAGACAATAAAGTATCTCTCCAATGTCAGCAACACACCAGAGATGCATCCACTCAAAGGTATCAGGTTTTTATCCTCTCATTCAGCATTCATTCAGCAGCAAGAAAAAGGCAATAATTAGACTTCCTTGGCCCTCAGTAACACCATGATGAAAAAAGTCATTTGGATTCTAACAATAAAGACAGCAGAAATGTACTTTTCTTCCCTACTTTATTCTGAATTAGTGCTGGTAGGACCCCTTGTCTTTCCAAAGTAGTCTACAGGCAAAATCTTCCTGCTACTGATGTCAATGCCAGACTCATTTTTACACTCCCGCTGCATAACAATACAGCCAAAGATCAAACTGCAACATAAAAAAAAAAAAAAAAAAAAAACCAACCACCATACCCCACCCCAAGGCAATTTAATAGAATTATTGCTTAAGAATATGGGGAATACAGCATTTACTACACCAAGGGTTAAAGCAGTAACTTTTCAAATATTCTTAAGACTCCCTATGGGCTATGGATGAAGACAATAAAAACAGGTAAGGAAGGGGTGTGGTGGGGGTGGTGATGACAACTGTTGAGGAAGAGAGGACACAAGAAGCAAAGCTGTCTGCTATCAGGCCGAATCAGCCTCAGCAGGTTCCCATGACCGTTCTCCCAGCACACAAAGCACTTCCCTTGCTCCTTCTCAACACCAAAATCCACCTTTCTGCTGTGCCTTCAGATACAGTTGCTGGAGCGAAACCAGCCCCACACCCTACAGCTGGGGGGAAAAAAAAAAAAAAAAAAAAAGAATAAAACCAAGCAACTTATCTAGCAGATTAAACCATGGTCTGGGAACCAGGAAACCACACCACTATCAACAGGCCTCAGCACCACTTGGTGTTTGCACAGCACTTCACCAACCTTTCACAAGGTTTAGAGAGGTTAAAACACATGCCCATGGTCACAGAGCAACCACGGACAAAATTCAGTATTTACAACCCAGGTCTACCGACTTCTAATCTGTGTAGCCCTCAAAGGGCACTGCAACATCTCCGTCTCGCACTAGAGCTGACCCACCGCTGAATTTACACGGGGCACTGTGCACCGCATCCCAGCCAGAGGGTTTGCCTCACCCAGGCACGCAGCCCCCGCGCCGGCATGCTGTCAGCTTGCCTTCGTTTGATTGCCACATTTCTCATTTGGCAGTAAAGCCAATCCATCCTGGATCAACTCTTCTGGAACAGCTATCTGCCTGGTGCTGCATCAGCTAAACAATTTATTTTCAAATTCAATTCTCTGTTTCATTTTATTGCTGTCAGAGCAGTCTGTGCGTGTGGACGGGCGGGGGGGGGGATATAAAAAAATCTGCCCTGGCAAACCCCGTAGACAATAATTCTGGGAAGACTGCGCTTCCCAACAGTGCCATGCCTATGTGCAGAAGTGCATGCATTCACACGCATGTGCAGGATTTCCTCCATCAAAACTAATCCTCCAGAACAGGTGGAGATAGTCTCATTAGGTGGTTTTTAATTAGTGTCACAGCAAAGAACAACAGTAACCACCAGAGGATGGATCTCAAGCACTGGCCCCAGATCTGCATTGGTACAATGCTGGGATCTGAACTCTTGGAGCTAATGGCAGTGGGAGACTCAGCTACATGTCTCAAGAAGTTTGTTATGCTTTAGAGATCTTTGAAAACTAGATTTAAAAGCTTCCCCCCCGACGTTCCCCAAATGCTCTGAAAGCAATTCTGCTCCCAGCATAAGGACATCAGTCACGTCTGCCTTTGCTGCTTGCTAAAACCAGGATATTTCTATCGATTGGAAGAGATGAATAAAACAAAAAATAGAACCTTAAAAGCAATAAAATGGCAGGAAACCAGTACCAAGATGGAAAAAATGTGTTTATAATGAAGTGCCAGGCAGGTAATAATTCAGATGGCCAAGACACAAGAGGGCTTATTTTATTACAGACTAAAAAACCCAACCATTTCAGCCCCAAGCAGGCAGAGCAGCAGTCACCAGCAGCAGCCTCAAAGCACCCGGTGTGCAGCGCACATCTGGCTACTGCAGTGGCTCCTGGTCCAGCTTCCTGCTTGGCTTTACAAAAGCTGAGGTTTTGCTATAAAGTTTCCCTTCAGGTTTCCACCTCCCTACAGTCCATGTTTAAACGCAGTGTTTCAGCTCAGCCTGCAGGTCTCCAGGCAGCAGCAGGTCCCAATGATGTGCCCATTGGAAAGGCAATACTCCCAAAAACTCCTCCGGCAGCTGTCCACTCCAGCTACTGCAACCAGTCCCCAAAAGTTGGGTAGAAAAACACCCTGGAAACACCCTAGGCAACAGCAAGAACCAAATTGCAACCTCAAACTGAGGGGACCAGCAGGAAAAGCACCTGGGATCTGCAGCCTGACTCTGAAGGAGGCACAAAGAGAACAAACATGACTTGTTTGCCTTTTTTAAGCTAGAATGGTTAAAAAAAAATTGTCAAGGTAAGTTTGCAGCTTGGGCTGCCTTTGAGCTGAAAATAACCTGCCCTAACCCTTCTAAGAGCAGTGGAGCCCAGGTGGCAAACCATGAAAGATAAACATGGGTTTTCACCAGATTCAGATCTTGGGGAACACCATGCCAGGTGGTACAGAGGTGACAAAATTGCGCTTTCAGACAACTCACTGAGGACAGCAGCCTCCTTCCAAAGTCTTGGGACTTTATAGAGAATCAAAGCTCTTCAAGACCGCTTACTGTATTGTCCAAACAAAACACAGAAGTTTGTCTGCAGACATGATGGCTGCTATGGAGAGAAGAGAAAGCCCTTCTGGAAGTAAGGGAGCCACGATGCAGCTTTGGAAAACGGGTGTCAAAACACCAGCTGTGTCCCTGGCACTTACACGTATCCAGCCCGTTGCTACAAGCAGCCAGAGGTGTTTGAATGGAGATGCTCAACATGCCAGAATTAGCCAGCAGCCAGTGTTTCGACAGCAGGCTGGATTTTGGCTGCCCTGCCGCCAAGTACCAAGTTGGACTCTCTGTGGGTTTGCCAAACCCCTGCAGCCACACAGCCAGGACCAGTAACCAAGGCTGTTGGCAAAACTCAGCTTGCAGGCAGCTCCTCTCAGCAAGAGAAGAACAATGGTGACACAGGACATTTCCAGACTTGCTGCTATTTCTGCTATAGCCAAGTAGCACATTTGTACAGGCCGTTACTCAATTTATACACAGAGCTGTAGTAACTGTGAAAGCCAGGCACGTAATTTTATACCTCAATTATTTTAAAATCAGGTTCTCAAAGCATCATAATTACGCTCCAGAGTCAATACCCTGCTGCGATGAGTCAGGTCCATCTCTGAGCTATTCCTTCAGGCTGTCTGAAGGCTAACGCAGTGTGCTGCATTTCCTTCTGATTTTAACGGTTTCCCTCACAACAATAACAAACTTTTTAAGAAAGTGCCCTTTCTTTAAAGTGGGGGGGACTACTGGGATCTGCAGATACTGAACAGATCAAGAGACGCAGCAAAATCTCTCCGTTTAGCTCATGAATTTAGCATTTGGGGTTGTCACTTTGAGAGCATTAGGGCTAGCCTCCTGATTACTAAACGAAGTAGCAAAGGACTGATGACAACTGACAGCTTGTAATTAAGGAATAAGAGTTAGTGTGTGAAGGGTGTTTAAACTGTGCTACTGGAGTCCTGGAGTGCTACTGGAGGCCAAACCCCAGCCAGGCTTCACAGGCTGGCCCTGAAGGGTATGGAAACTGAGTATTACAGCAAAAATCCTGGCTCCTTGACATGGTGGTTGGGTCCAGCGCAGGAGAACCACTCACGCCAGTGGCTTCAGGCTACAAAAGGGCTATTACAGCCCTGTTCCAAGCTGTGCTGTTACAGCTCTCCTCGCTGTTGCCTCAACAACTAATTTTTGACCAGCTCACGTTTTCCATGTCCAGGCTGCTGAGCACAGGCTTTTTAGGGGCCAGGGCTGCTATTTCCCATTTTCAACAGGGAAGAAAAAGCCCTAGATGCAGAGAGCAACTATAATGAGCTGCTTCTAGTCTCACGAAGGAGGTTCATTTTACACTACTGTAAAGTTAGAAGACTCGCCCTAGGAAGGAAAAAACCCATCACGGAGGGTTGCACAGCAGCCAGTAGCAGAGGCAGGTACCAGACCCAGGTCTTGGGTTCTTATCAACCACTGCCTGTTCAGGGCTGTGCTGCCTTTTGAAGTTGATAAAAATCTCCCCTATGAAAGATCACACTCATGAGCTAAAGATCGATACCCTTGACTCAGCTATTAAACAATTTTCCTTGCAATGTTTTCACATAACTGAGAAATGAAAGATAATTAACAGAAACAACCGTAAGAAAACCAAGCCAAACACGTAATGGCAAAAGGATGAGCAAAGGCATTACCTAGAGACCTCATCTACCTCCCTAAAAACTTTCTTTAGGTTCTCTACATCTCTTTTATCCCCCAAGAAGATGCCTCCTTGAAGAAAGCAATATCAAAGTGATGTTAGCATTGGTCCCAAGTGTATCAAACCTTTGGACAATGGGAAGCAACACCAGGCTTAGCAGCCTGGCCACCTTCCTTCTCCTGCAGAGTTCCCTGAGGGAGGCTACAGTGCCTGCCCACAACTGGAAGCACTGCGTACATGTTGCACTTGGGTT